CCGACTTTCCTGCATTTCTGCATAAAACACATCCAGATTCAGGTTTTAAATCCGAGTCCTCCTTGCTAGTGGGACTGCTCCCCTGAAATAGTGGTCTGCAGAATGATGATTATATTAAAAAGATTGAAAAAGAAAGGAGGCCCAGAAAAAGGGCAACTATAGGGAGCAGGGGTGAGTCGCGATATGGTCGTTTTCACAAGAATGAACTTAGCTGTCACGGCTACGTTCATGCTTTCTGGTCACATCCATCTCTGTTTATGCAAGTCATATGTGTGTGCCATTCAGCCACAGGCTGCTGGTAGCACCACTGGGGCCTGCGCCTAACTAATGTACTGGTAGCTTGAACGGACCTGGTCTTAATTGCCGACAATGCTGACTTGGAATCCAACCCACATGCCCGAATGGTATGCCTGTCAACTGTTGATAAATAGACCTGACCTCGAATCCTGCAAGGATCTGATGAACGGAATTACTTTGACTTAACTGGGGCCGCTCACTTCAGCGATGGGCTGTCACCCTTTCAAAAGAAAAAGAAGAAATGTTGACACTGGGACTGTAGCATCAGGGCATTACGATTATTCCAACTCAGCTCTAGACAGAATTGTGGTCAGAGACATCCACTATCCAGGGAAGTCCTAGTGTGAGTATGCCCTCAGTCATGTGCTCCTTTATTTATTTATTTTAGTAAAAAAAAAAACAGAACCTCAAGGTTCTGGCTCCTTTTCCATTCTGGAGAGCATCGGTCCGGTTCCTATTCCACCAGCAAATCGGAACGAATTACCACGAGTACTCACACACGCTCCTCCCCCTTACGGTAGGAAGGCCTGAAGGACGACATTGATTACTTCTGGAAGGAAGGATGTACCACCCCTCACCCCTGCCTAAGTTAGCCTGATCGATGTATTCTTGGACTTTGGGGGCCATTCAAACTTTGGTCTCGCCATGTACTGTTTGAAAACCTACCTGTAGGGGCCGTCTCTAGTTTATCCCTCTCAGGTGTAAGGATGTCAGATCTGCGTGGATTGCTGGTAGGGCTAGTTCGGCCTATATCTACAGGCTTTCCTAATCCCTAAGCCTCTGGTTCCTAGGCTCTGTAGCAACTCTTAGCCTTGAATCCTGCGGTACCCCTGTGACTGTTTGTGCGGTGTTCTGTGCTCTTTCTCCCTGACGGAAGGATGCTCCACTCCACAACCTTGCCTAAGTAAGCCCATTGGTGTGGGATCTAACCCTGCTCTGATTTTCCACACCCTCGAACCCGGTTAAGCCGGAGGCTATCCCTGGGTCTGCTGTTGTTTTTCCTTATGGCTGCTGTCCTCGCGTTCGTCGGCTCGCCAGAGATCCTTATAGGGCCTATTATCCCTGGATCATTACTCCCCTAGTTGTTGTTCGTTTACTCGCGAAGATTCCCACCCGCCGTCTAATCCTCGCATGTTTGTCCCCTTCAGCTGCCTGTTAGTTGAAGTGCTTTCTAAGCTAGAGGACTACAACTCCAATTTTTACTGTGCATTTCCTTCCCTTCATGAAAACTGGTTACTGAGTTTCTAGAACCCTAAACCCTAGGATGCTGCCTGTTTATCTTAGAAACTGTGGCTTTGTGTCCCGTCATTCCCCTCACGTTCGTTGGTAAGTTGTTGAAACCAATACCTATACTTTGTCTAAGTCTTCGTCCGGTCTGGTGTTCTGTTACCCTTCCCGTGTTTCTTTTTCTGGGTCGGGGGTTTATTTCTTGCCTTGTCTTAATATTGCTTCTAGTCGCCTAGGTCCGTGGGAACACTTTGTTCATTGTCTATTTCCTATCTACTTGTGTTCTGTTTATACCAATCAGTGAAGTGCAGCGCTCTGCCCGCAACTCGGGCAATTAGTCCATTCTTCAGCCATTCCTCCTCAATTGTTTTTTTTAATAATTTGTTTTAAATGTGGCCCGATGGACCAAGGATCAGATATTAAACTGATCAGAACAGATACCACACTTGATCTTCGCCAAAAGGCCGAGAAAGCTATCCTCAAATTCTTTCTGGGGTATGGTGCCAAAACGGGCGCCAGGGCCTACCTATTGGGCCTACCGACCTACGGGGCCTACCGGGGCCGAAACGACACAGGGCCTGAAGGGCCCCTACCTATACTGAACGACACAGGGCCTGTAGGGGCCAGTGTGGAACTCCAAATGCCACACCCCCCCTTCCTTGAAAGACCGAGCTTACCTGCAGGGGCGAAGCTGTCTGTCGGAGGGAGGGACCGAAGTCCGGGTGGGAGGGGCAGGTTGTGAAGCTTCCTTAGCTAGTCTTTGTCGCTCGTAGTGGGCGTAGATCAGAGGTGCGGATGCTTGCAAATCTGCTTGCGAAATTCACTGTGTTGTCACGGTCGCAACCCTTAAATGTGACCTTGTACTGCATCATCTTGTTGCCGTACTTGCGGTGTGTGACGACACGATCGATCTCCTGATGACCATCCATAGACGGAGGGTCCTGCGATCGTCGGTCCGGGAAGTCGTCGCTCTTGGCTGGTGTATACGTGGCCAGCTTGGAGGCGTGGAAGACCGGGTGGACCGGTAGATGTGGCGGGATGTCGATCACAAATGATGGGCCATCGGGCTCGTTGCCCCCAGCTGATGTGACGGTCTACGGTCCAAACCACTTGGGGAGTAGCTTATGCGAAAAGTGTATCGAGCGCAAACTCTTCCGCGGAGACCCAAACTCAAGGTTGGCGGCGCGGATAGGTCATGGCACGCGACGACAATGGCTTGCTGTTGTATGCGGACTTGAGCCTTTTGCATGTTTGCCCGGGCTTGAGCCAGCAAGTCCCGATGCTTCCAAATGGAGGTGGGAGAGTAAGGGGTGTCAATGTCGGCAGTCTGTGGGAATAAGAGATTGGCGAAGATACCGCCTTTCCGGCCACCGTGGGGCAACTCGAATGGAGTCACGCTGATCGCTGGGTGCAATGAAGTGTTGTAGGCGAATTCGATGTTGGGGAGGCGGTCAACCCAATCCTTCTGGTCCGGACGGATGAGTGCATGAAGCATCATTTGAGCGGTTTGATGTGTCCGCTCCTTTTGCCTGTCTGTTTGTGGATGCCGAGCTGAACTCGGTTTCATCTCGGTGCCGGACTCCTTCATGAGAAGTTCAAAATCCCGAATGGAATCGAGTGTCGATAACAATGTCTTCCGGAACCCCGTGGCTGCAAATCCAGCCGGTGTGCAAGAGTCGCGCGAGCTCAGGAGCCGTGGTGTGATACTTGCAAGGAAGAAATTGTGCGTACTTACTCAAACGGTTAGCGACCGTGAGAATGTTGCCCGAAACGATCGCGGGGGAACGGGCCGGTGACGACCATAGCAATGGAGAGGCCGGGCTCCCTAGGGATAGGCAACGGGGGCAACTCGCAATAGGGGTTGCGGTTGCGGGGTTTGCTTCGTCGGCAAACTTCGCAAGATTCGCAGTACTGAGTGACATTGGTAATCAGGTCAGGCCACTGGAATCGTTGTCGAAGTGTTGCGATCGTACGGTTGACTTCAAAGTGGCCAGCGATTCGCAAGTCATGGTAGTCGCCGAGGAGGCGAGTCCGTAATCGATGGTCTCGTGGAACGCATAGTAAGTCCTTCCTCGTGAATGGAGAAGCAAGTAGCCGTCGACGATGCGATAGTGGCCGGCTAGAGGGTGATCCGAAGCAAGTTGCTCATAGAGAGTGGCGTATTCCGGATCCGACTTGTATGCATGTACAAAATGCTGATGAAGGGCGTCGAAGTCGAACGCATGATGGATTGCTGCGCAAAGATCTGATCTTCACGAGAGAGCATCCGCGGCTCGGTTGGAGAGATCTGAAATGTGCTTCGGTGTGAAGTCGAATTGGTCGATGAATTACATCCACCGAGCAATCATGCTGCTCACTGTGTCTTGCGTCTTGTAGTGGGTCAATGGGTTGTTATCCATTGCCCAAGCGAACCTACGACGCCGAGGAGGAAGTGTCGCCAACGCTTAAGTACCGTGACAAGTGCGAGAAACTCCTTCTGCGCATCATCAAGCAAGTTTGGTTGAAGTACTCAACCAGATGCCAATCTACTCCGCCGTGTTGTTCCAAAACTGCACTGATGTCGTAGCCGGAAGCGTCCGTGGTCATTCTCGTTGGCAAGGTGGGATCATAGATACTCAAGACGGGGGCGAGAAGCAACACCGTTTTCAATTTTTGGAACGAACTCCGGACTTCGTCGGTGAAGTGGAAGGGCACTTTTGCCGACTGCAATTTCGACAAAGGTGCAGCGATCTGTGCATATCCGCCAATGAAGCGTTGGTAGTACCCAGCCAATCCAATGAAAGAATGCACTTCCGTAGTGTTGGCTGGTTCCGACAAATCTTGAATGGCCTTGATCTTGTCCGCGAGCGGATGGATGCCTTGCCTCGTCACAAAGTACTCGAGCTCTTGTTGCGGGAATTCGTATTTGGCGCGATTGGCCTTGTACTTGGCTGTAGGTAACCTGTCCAGAACGGCGTGTAGATGTGAGAGGTGCTCATCCAAAGTCCGGCTATACACCAAGATGTTGTCGAGGTAGATGAGCACGAACCAGTCCAACATGTCGTTGAATTCTGTCGTCATTGCCGCTTGGAAGGTGGCCGGGGCATTCGTGAGGTCGAATGGCATTACGACCCACTCGAAGTGCCCCTCTCGCGTTTTGAACGCGGTCTTGTACAGATCCCGTGGATGGATCTCAATTTGGTCATAACCCGACTTGAGGTCCAACTTGGAGAAGTACGTGGCGCCGCCCAAACGTTCGAGAAGATCGTCGATTCACGGGAGCGGGCCAGCATGTGCTCACATGGTATGCTATATGTGCTAAGCACTCTCTGTGTGTACCTCCTTGTGCTTCATGTGTGGGTATGGTAATGTGTGTGGTATAGCCTGCTTGATACTATAGTCTCTCCTCAAGACTATGCTTGCCTCCTTTCATGTGCTAAATGTCAACTGTGTGTGTGCAATATGTGTGCTCTTTGCGTGATATGGACGTGCCACAGGTTCCTGCAGAGCCTGGATGGAGAACTTTGAAGCTGTTATCTGTGAATCCGGATCACTACGCGAATGCTCCCTTGGAAGGCATTCGGCGAATTCTTGAAGAGGTGAGTTGATCGAACATTTCTCCGAACACAATGCGCCATCGTCATGATTGTCTTGAACTGGAAAGATAGCTTCAAAATGAGGGTGTGTTATGTTCGGGGGAAGAAGGTAGTGAGCGGTGGTACTCACATCTGCTTCTGGTTTGCTTCAGGTAACTAGGAAAGTGACCTGGAGGGAAAGATGAATCTGACAAAGTGGATTGGTTGAAGGATGTGCCCCCACTGAGTTTTGGCCAAGCAGATAGAAGTGGCATTGGCTGGTCATCCGTCTTCCCCAATTTATCATGGACCTGCTTCTTCAATCCCTTGGGTTAGATTCATCCTCAGTTAGGAGGAAGGCTGCGTACCAGAAAGTTGGCCCCCAAGTTTGACCTCTCTTCTGTGTGATGGTTTGTCGCTTCTGTGTCTCTCTGTGAGAATCCTACAACAACAGGTCGAGACAGAGGTGTGTGTTATGTGCCTCATTGAAACGAGATCCAACATGTCATCCACACGTTCCCATACACGTGCAATGACAAGTGACCTTTGGAGGGAGCAATCCACACCACACCGGATGATAAGAATCATGGTTATCGTCGGGACGTCCGGATACCATTCCGGACTGTCCGCGTCTGGATGTCTGGGTGGATGTCCAGTCCGGTAGGTCAGGAATATATATATATATATAAACTCCGACGAAACAGTTTGTCACAGCCCCTCGTTTGTTGTCCTCTTCTCCCTCTCTGCCTACGGTTTACCGGGCAGTTCTATTTGACGATATATGTATAATAGTATATATATAATAGTATATATTATTTGGGAGGGTTTGTTCATGGCCCACCCCCCAAAAAATTGTTTGTGGATTTTTTTACTATTTCCGGCCCTTTCAGAAAGCCATAGAGGGCCGGGCTGAAACTGATTCTGATTGTGTGTGTGTGTGTGTGTGTGTGTGTGTGTGTGTGTGTGTGTGTGTGTGTGTGTGTGATAGAAACAGAGAGCGACACACACACACACACACACACACACACACACACACACAGAGAGAGAGAGAGAGAGAGAGAGAGAGAGAGAGAGAGAGAGAGAGAGAGAGNACACACACACACACACACACACACAGAGAGAGAGAGAGAGAGAGAGAGAGAGAGAGAGAGAGAGAGAGAGAGAGAGAGAGAGAGAGAGGTGCACATGCTGGATACTGCCTTGAGGTAGGTAGGGCCCAATTCACTCCCTGTATCTAAACCTTCTGTAACCTTTTCTTTTCTTTCTTCTTCTTCTTCTTCTTTTTTTTTGAAAACAGGACCTTATGGCCCCGGCTCCTTTTCCATTCTGGGGAGCATCAGTCCGGTTCCCATTCCAACGGCAAGTCAAAAGAATAATACATCATGATTAAAAACACCTGCTTCCTTCCGTACGGCCAAAGGACCCCTGATCAGCATTGATTACTCCATTCGCATGGAGGATTGACTGTCAGCTTGCCTTGCTATACCTTTCCCTCTCAGGTCTGCTGTGCAGATCTGCCAAATAGGGTCTGTAAACCAAAAAAAGGTCTAGCCCTTTCCCTGCTCCCTACCCCTCACTATGTTCCCCTATGTGTATTCCCTTTTACCCTAGAGTTCCTCAGCATATATTTAACGCCCTCCCCCTTGTTACGTCTGGTCCAGTCCGACCCTTACCCCGTCCGCCCTGGGCGGTTATGCTCCACCTGAGACAGCTATCTTAATCTGATTCAGCCTGTCAACTCCTTAGAGCCTACAGTCCCTGACCTGAAACCCGATGCTTAAGACCCTAAAACCCTTACCTTAAACCCTCCCTTATTCCACCTCGTAAAACCTTTCCTTCTGGAGATGGCTTAATGATTACGAGCCCAATGTAGTCCTCGCTTTTTCTCTTCCTGTTGTACTGTATGTAGTCTGTCCAGCATTGATGTAGGGGATTATCCGCTCCGTCTTAAGTCCGCACGTGCGTCCCCTCTTACTGCCCTCTCCCTTTTCTGTTTTGTGCCCATTTTGCAGCGTCTGTAGCCGGCCTGGGATATTTCCTCCTGCCCGCGTCTTAATCCTCCTTGTCTCCCCTCTTGGCCTTTGTTCTTAAACCTGGTGCCCCTTACTCCCTTCAACTCAGTTGCCCATCCGTTGCATGCTCGGCCTGAACTCTCCTGCCTGCCCCTGAATTTTGCCAGTCCTTACAGTAAATTCGATCGTTTCGTAGCTCAGCCACCTTACCATCCACTAGTCACAGTTTGGTAAATTTTTTCTTAGCCTTTTCTCGCAGATCCACGTCTTCGGGCATCGACTGTTTTAGCTTCTGCCATTTGCACAGAATTTCCGCCCGTAGTATGGTTCTTGTCTCCCCCCATACCTTCTCTCTTGGGTTGGATAGCCTTTCGATGGTTCTGCAGCGTCTTTCTTTCCAGATAACCCATAACGTCACCTTCCTGATCATACCAAACCTTAATCTTTCCGTCTTCCTGAGTTGGTCAGGAATGTTAGTCCAGAGAAGGATTTGGATGGGCTGTTCGGGAAAGGAAGTGTGGAAAAGGGAGTCCCAGAGAGCTGAGGCCCGTGCCCAGTAGTCCGTCGCCTCACTGCAGTGAATTAAACAGTGTACCAGGTTTTCTTGTACCGCTTCTGTACAGATAGAGCATAAGTCGGAGCTAGAGGGGTCGTTTCTGCGACGTCGTGTATGGAGCCATTGATTTACTGGCAGCGCCACGCAAGCGATAAGCCACTGAAGGCTTCTAATTTTAATCGGTCTGATAGTCTTAAATTTCTTCCACGGGATCTGTGTGATTTTGTCAGCTTCTTGGCCTATTTGTTTCTGCCATCTGGCTTTGATCACTGGATCTGGGTCTTTTGTTTTCAACAAGAGTTTGTATCCCAGTTTGACTGCGTAGTTCTGTATGGGGACATGTGTCTTAATGTTTTTTTCCTTATCCGGCTTCCATCCCCACTCTGCCGGGTTTTCTTTCTTCTTCTTCTTCTTCTTCTTCTTCTTCTTTTTTTTTTTTTTTTTTTTTTTTTCCGGATTTTCCGGACGTTGGTCCGGCCTGACGCCATGCTTTGTCTGGATCCGGGGTAACCATGATAAGAATACACAGTGGAAGCACACAAATACCGAAAGTAGAATTGAAATGAAAATCAATTCTAATTACTGTCCCTTCCCAAGTCAATCAACAGCACAAATTTCCAAGGATCCCAACCACGTTATCAACACCCACGGACCAATTATTTACAAGGTTTCATCAAAGTATCAGGGAGTCTTCTTCTTCCTCCCTCTCCCTCAAGCTCTAGCTATGGTGCTTGCAAGCACCCAACCTATCAAGCCTGCCAATCGCCACACACCCTCCTAAATCTAACACCCCTGTCTGCACCACTCAGGAAGCCCACTGCAGATGAAGTGTCCACTCAGCAGGGGAGCGCAGCTCCCAGGATGATGAAGAAGAACAGCAACTCAATGAAGATGAAGATCTGCCACGTCGAAGAAGAACCACTGAAAGTGCAGCTTCGGTGGCAGCTGACCAAACCCCAACAAGCACACGAATATGAGGAAGCGCTCAGCAGCACTTGGGCGCCGAGCTCAGCGCTGTCACCAATGGAGCTGGCTGGCCCCCGCTATGGCTGCCAGCAGCATGTGGAGAAGATGTCCTGCGTACATACCCACAATAGCGCACCAGGGAAGCAACGCAACCTCCACCAAGACCGTGAAAAGAAAAGCAACGAAAAGAACCTCCAATTCCTCGGCCCGTCTACTTATATCTGACTTCCCTAGACCTACAACACAGCAGCCACCTACAGACTTATCTGACCGCCCAAACAGCAAACATCTACGGCCAACCAGTCAAGATCTATCTACATGCATCTAGATGGAAACCTAGTCCAAGGGGACCCAAGGCTAGGACACACAAAAGAAAGACCTACGGGCCTACCAGTTTCCAGAAGGGCGGAAAAGGACAAAACAACAAGGCTGAAAGGCTTAAGAGTACGAAGTAGAGACTACTCGCAACAGGTTCAAGGTTCAAGATCAATAAAGCTGAAAAACAGTCAAACACCACAAACACGCTGCAGGTCACGAGGTCAAGTCTTGCAAGGCCCCAAACAAGGAAACAGCAAACACAGTTAGCGTACAGTCCCACTAGGATACTGCGATTTATTGCATGTGGGTGGCATGGAGAAAATGCCAGCAGAAGATGAAAAACGCCTCTGGTGAAGCTGAAAAGATCCTGGAGACCTTTAAGGGAAAAAAAAAAAAAAGAAGTACTAGCAGAAGAAAAGTTGGCAACGGAAGGAGGCATGAGTGGATCTATGTTGTATCATGTTATTTAAGACTTGCCGGTGGAAGAGGAACTGGACTGATGCACCCCAGAATGGACATAGAGCCAGGACCATAGGGTCCTGTTTCTTAAAAAAACAAGTGGACCCAACGCGGCGAAGCCGCGCCCCAGTCCTGCCTGTACACGACAGGAACTGTGGCAATGTCGGTCTCTTTGTGTGTGTGTGTATAGGATGAGCAAAATCGGAATAAATCTTCAGCCAGAACATGGAAATTTACACTGCCACACTTTTTTCTTCTTTTTTTTTAGCCCCTTCATGCTTGCATCAACTGAGCAGACTGACACCGCGACAGACAGATACATTGAAAAGAAACCCCCGTGTGAGTATAAACTAAAGAGCTGTCAGATGCAAATGTCGCCGCGCGTGCGGAAGAGAGAGAGCGAGAGCGAACGAGCGCGCGCGCGCGAGAGAGAGAGAGAGAGAGGGAGAGAGGAAATGTAAGTCTCCATATCTTTTTTCTCTTTTGTGCATTGAATCCGAACACGATAAACGCGCAGCTATGAACTTGTGTTCGAACATGAGTGGCGCGCCGGCCTCGAACACGCTGAAAAGGGCTGCTATGAACAGAGCGAATGGAAACAAAGCGCCGCCGCCGAAGATTCGTTCTCCAAGCACTAAACAAAACAGCCCACCAACCAACTGCATGTGGGGCCAGAAGACGCGGGAAAAAAGAACAAAAGAACAACTCAGAGTCTGCAGCTATGTACTCGTATTCAAACGTGCACCTGGATATTTGCGACCCCGCCAGCCCCACACAACGCCGCGGTCCAACTGCACGTGGGGCCAGAAGAGGAGGTGGAAAAAAAGAAAAAACGAACAACTCAGAGTCTGCAGCTGTGTACTTGTATCTGAACGAGGCCAGGACATTTGTGACCCCGCAAGCCAGTGCGGCCCACACAACGCCGCAGCCCACATACACGTGGGTCCAGAAGACGCGGAAAAAAGAAAGAAAGAGCCACTCAAAGTCTGCAGCTATGTACTTGTATTCGAACGTGCACCTGGATTTTTGCGACCCTGTCAGCCAGTGCGGCGCACGCAACGCCGCAGGCCCAACAGGGAATGGCGTTTTTCCAGCGCTGGCAGCCGGGCCTCGCGGGAGCGTTACGTGAGACCCGGCTTACACTTTAATTAGAGTGCAGGAAAAGTGAAGTTGGCAAGGGTGAGTCTAGAAAAAGCAAAGTTGGCAAGGGTAGTAGCTGCATATCCTCCCCCAGAAGAGATCCTAAGATAATTGGTGTGAGTTACATGTGCGTCGTGTGGCTGATCGTCCGAAAAGACCAGCTAGGCAGCGCGCCCCTATTTGACTCATTCTGACCTGCATTATTTGTGGGCTAGGACGCGAAGTGGGCGCTTGAACTCCGGAACTGCTAAAAATGTGTTAGCAGAAGGGAAATTGGCAAGCGTAATAGTGCATATCCTCCTCTTTGTTCAAACAACGAGTTGCACCATGATCATCATACAAAGGGCTAGAATCTTGCATGGCCTCATCGAGCAGCCATTCTTCCCTTGCAATAGTAATCAACAAGGAAAGAGGTTCCAATACTGGTGTTTGCTCTTCAGTGATGTCTCTGCAACCATGCTCTTATCCACCCATTTTTTAATGGCCATTGGACTCCTGATTTTCTTTCTTTTTTCTATGGATTCATTGACTGTTTGTGTTTGTCGCTGCTTTTTTTAATGCCATCCAGTTGTTTCTCTTTTGGAAATGCTCTGCGAATTTGTGCGTTCGGCTTGGATGCGAGCATGGTGGCATGTGCTGTTGCTGACTTTGGGGGTGATTGGGAAGTGCTGGGTTGAGCGGGGGTTGTTAACTGAGATGGCATGCGGTGACTTGGCAGGTGACAGGAGTGGAAATTCCGCGAAGTTCGAAAGTGCCCACTGACCAAATTGATTGGATAAGAATGGGTAAGTGTTGATGAATCAAGCACACACTCTCTCCTTTTTCTGAACGAAACTCGTTAACTCATTCCTGCCTAACTTCCAATCCCCCACCCCCTCCCCCCCTCTCTCCCTCTCTAGTTCTTTTTTTTTTTGCTATCCTTTTTTTAAAAAAAATTTTTTATAGAAAACAGAACCTTTTGGTTCTGGCTCCTACCATTCTGGGGAGCGACAGTCCGGTTCCTATTCCCCCGGCAAGTCAATATGGAAAACATGGGAGACTCACGCACGCTCCTCCCCATTATAGCTGGGAGGTCCGAGTGGACGGCATTGATTACTTCCCTGAGGAAGGATGTACCACCCCTCACCCCTGCCTAACTTAGCCTGTGCTATTTGATCTGCCTGGCTGTTGCCAATCTGTCTGAACCCAGTCCAGCTCCTCTCAGCTGTGATGCTGTCGGGTTGGTGTGTTATGCTAGAGCGGTCTGGAACGCCTACGAGCCTCTTGAAATCTCTAACATCCTAAGCCCTGTATGCCTTGTTTCTGTCTAAACCTTAAAACCTAAACCCTCAAGCTAAAACCCTGAACCCTTGTTGACTGTAGTGTGTTTTTAKGGTCTGTCTCTGTCAGAATTTTCTGTGTTGAARCTGTTGAATATGCCTATAGTTTCTTTGTGGGGTAGTTTGGGTGGGGTGGGCGGTGACTGAGGGGGTTTGTGCAGTGGTGAAGGTTTTGAGATTCTGGGTCGATGGGCTTGGGGTTATGGGCTTGGGACGGGGGAGCGAGGATAAATGTGGTAAGGGAGGGACTGTGTTACAGTTGGGGAGAACGAATTTTGTTGGAGTTGGGAATTTCTGAGGCGTGTAGGTGCACAATGTGGGGGTTCTCAGGTGGTGTCCTGTTCTGTTGTGGTTAGTATGTGTGTGGGTGGGTTGGCTTGGGGGGTGTAATGGGGTGTA